GTACTATTTTTATAAGAGATGCAGTATGTTGTTTCGAGTCTGTCAGCCAAAGGCGGAGACGTAGAGATTGCTTTTAGCGTTTATTTTCTAACATCATCTCTCATGAAATGGCTACAGTTTATATTAGTCGCTTACATCTTGCAGGAAGGTCTACCAACACTCCCACCTCTTCATCCCGTCACTCTACCGGAATTCTTAAGAGTGATTGTCATCTATTCTATATATCTCTGAGCTTATTATTTCAAAAATTCAGCTCCCGCTAGATGCTGATCGGTGTATTCCGAAGCTCAAGAAGCAGTTCAAGGAAAATGACACATATTTCGAAGACTTCAGAAGACAAGTTGATCAAAACAATATCGCAGCTGCCTATGATGTCATCTATGCTAAGGTTGGTCGATCGACAGGTAAGCTTTTCACATAGAAGGAATTGCATTGTTTTTAGGCAGGAGATATCTGTACCGCTGAACAAGTAAAACGTTTGAAGGCTATGGATAAGAAATATGAGAAAATGCAGAAATCTATTGAAGAGGTGAGTGCGTAAAACCGACTTTCTATATCTGCGTGTTGGAGGGGGGTTGGTTTACATGTTGTACCATCCCTATAAATGGATTTTAATTGGTGATCATCTTATAGTTAGCGCCCGAATACCCTAAAGAAACTAAGGACGAAATTATGCAATGGTTGAGGGATGACAATATGATCGCACTCTCTGGTTTCGTCACAAGAGAATCTATGGTAAGTAGTACACTTTGAGAATATGAAAAATTCTTGAATGTTCGAATATAATTCGAAAATGGAATTCGACCTATACCAACTATTAATTTATACTTAAAAAATTGCGATTATTCGAACCGAAGAACGGAAATCTCAACTACTCAAATTTAGTTGGGAAATCAAAAATTTCGTTCAATGACTTGATTTTAATTTACTTGAGCAGTCGAATATTTATTTTTGGCCCACTATGCTTAGTAATAAGTATTGATTTTGGTAAAACCTTCCAAAACGAAATTTCAAGACACGCCATGTGCGCCAGCCTTGCCAACATCTAAAATACTGAATTTTCAGGCAAATGTGTTCAATCCCGCGAAGAACTCGAAGTTGATGCAGATATCTGTACTATTAGGCGCTATGCAGTTTGATCAACTCATCAATCCCATTTAAACGGTTATACATACAGTAATCAAAAATACTATACATAATTATGTATTAGCGCTGTTGTTATAAATAGATCTGTTAAAAATAAATATTAAATCCATATGTTTTCATTTGAGAATAGTCAAAGCTACAAGACAAATATCTTG